GGAGAGTGTAGGGAAGGTGGGGTAGTAAGGGGGAACCGATTACAAGGATCTACATATAACCCCCTCCCTGGGGACAGACAACAGAAAAGTGAGTGATGGGAGATGTCGGACAGTGTAAGACATGACAAAATAATAATACTTTATAAATTATCAAGGCTTCAGGGAGGGGGGACAATGAGGAGCTGCTACCAAGGACTCAAATAGAAAGCAAATGTTTTGAGAATGATAATGGCAACAAACGTGCAAATATGCTGGACATAATGGATGGATGTATGGATTGTGATAAGAGTTGTATGATCCCCCAATAAAATTATTTTTTTAAAGACTCAAGAAAGTCCCTCTGTATCACAGAAGGGTCTTAGTAAGTAATTCAGACTTCATTTCTCCATAATGACTGCTATTATTACATCTCAACATTCCTCAGCTTGATTAGCATACTGAATAACAGGTAATTATTTTCAGTATTCTATCTTTTTGTAACACAAGAATTACTTTCCCAAAATGCCACCTTTCCTATCTACTGACAGGAGGGTGGGAAAAGAACTCAAATGGTCAGGAATATGAGGATTTAGGCTGCAAACATTCATCTTGAATGCCTCCCACGGCCTGTACTGCTGAGAACATTGAGAGATTATCTGAAAGTGGAGTCTAAGATTTAAAGAGAAGAGGATCCTGAGATATAGTTCATCATCAGTATCAGGTACAACCAGCATGTCGGGGACTACATTTCTGTGATTCCGGTTTAAAGTATGATGGTACGTTGGTGCAGTCTATTGGTGCATCTGTTAAACACTCAGCTGCTAATGGTTAGTGGTTGAAATCCATGAGCTGTTCCCAGGAAGAAAGATGTAACATTCTACTTCCTTAAGGATTATAGTCTGTGGAAGCCCTATGGGGCAGTTCAAATCTGTCCTATAGGGTCTCAAAGAGTCAGAGCCAACTAGCCAATAATTTTAATCATCTCTAATATTCTCACATTTCCATGACTTTATATGCTGAGGCTTTTCCCAATACTTCCTTTTTTTACCATACTGTTATATACACACAATCCTAATTCGTGTATTTAGGACTGTGTAGTATGTGTGCATGTGAGGAGCCCTGGTAGAATAGTGAATTACTCTTTTGGCTGCTAACCACAAGATCAGCAGTTTAAGACCACCAGCAGCTCTGTGGGAGAAAGATGAGGCGTTCTAACTCCAAAAGACTTATTGTCTGGAAAACACAGGCAGTTTTACTCTGTCCTATATGGTTGCTATGAATTGGAGTCAACTCTGACAGTGTAAATCTGCACGTAGGGAGTCTTAGTGATGCTGTGGGTTAGGCATTAGTCTGTTAACTGCAAGGTCGGCAGTTAAAAGGAAGATGAAAATGTTTACTGTATGGATTTAGTGTGAGAAACCCCATATAAGTCACTCTGAGTCATGATCAACTCGGAGACAGTAATCATCTCTTCAAGTACAAAACACCTAAAGAGAACATCATTTAAGATCTATACAATATAAAATAAAACACTTAACACTCAGTCCCTCCTTCTTCCCATGAAATTTCTTCTAACACTATTTTTCTTAGAATCCTTTCCTATAGATCCCTAGAAATATCACCATGGTGTCTACATACAGGAGACTTAGGAATCCCGAGATCAAGAATTGGCCTCACGCTTTGCTAGCTCAGCCACTGTGGACAAACCTTAGTCTGTATTTTACTTACATGCCATAAAATAGATATATTCCCTCCTTAGATTTTTTGAACTTTAATGGTCTACTAGACATAAATGTACTTTGTAAACAATAAGATTCTACAATTGTAAGATCCTACCCACTGTGTACACACACACACACACACACACACACACACACACGCTACCCTAGACTTTGCTTAGTATAGATGAGCTTCTTTTTGTTGTTGTTTTATTTTTTTTGTTTTTTATTAAAAAATCATTTTATTGGGGGTTCTTACAGCTCTTATAACAATCCATACATCAATTGTATCAAGCATATTTGTACATATGTTACCATCACTATTTTCTAGACATTCAGTTTCTATTTGCGCCCTTGGTATCAGCTCCTCTTCTTTCCCTTGATAAATTATAAATTATTATTATTTTCATTAGATGAGCTTCTTAAAGATTTAATTTGCTGTCATTATGTACTGGATACCACAGGATCCTTCAACAGGTGACTGTGACAACACAGCCCTCTGCTCCACGACTTCAGTGGCCAACATCCCGGAGACCTCTGATAACACTCTCTAATAACCAGTATCTTTGTTCATTCAGTGATCCTGAGATACACCTCTACATCATTTCCACTGTTAGCATACCACATCCTGTTTTTTTCAATGCTCAAAAAAACCCCTTAAATATCAATGCAAATCAATCATCCTTAAAGACTACATCCTTTCAGTTTCTTCTTTGATTCTATAACTACACCTAACTTTTATTTGTTTTTTTGGAGAATATAAAATCATTTGGAAAAACATCACTGATATTCAACTACTTATAAGTATCTACAAAGATTGACGATGCCAAATTGGTGAATCTCTTAGTCAATTAAAAATTTTTCAGCATTCTCTGTTTTAGCTAATGAATAATTAGGTTCAGAGAAGAGTAAGTCAACTGATATACTTAACATATTTCCTCATTTCTTTTCAGATGTATCTGAGATAATAAATATAATTTTACTTCTACCTTTTTCTGATTAAAAACTAGATATTTTTTATAACAACATGGCATTTTAGAGGTGAGTCTTTATCCTGTAGGTCATTTTACAAGTTAATCTTTAAGAAATTCTTTTAATTATGAAGCTTCAAAAGTCAAATCAGCATTTTACCTGAAAACGTAGAAAATTCTTGTATAATTCTTGCTGTTTAATCTGAAGTTCAGTTAGAGGTTCACCAAATATATTTCCCCGAGCAAAAGGAGAGCTCCGTGTTTGCATATAACCTTGAGAAATATTTTGCAAAAAATTAAAATAAAAAATACTATTAAGCCAATGCTTAGAAAATTTATACATTAAAGAATTAAGGGTTAATTAATAATTTCATATTTTGAAACACTGCTAAGTAAAAGGTCTAGAAATTAGGGTCAGAAGAAGAAAGCTGAGATTAGAATCTGAAGATCATATGAACATTAACAGGAGGGGGAAAAAAAAGACTTAAACAAGCTTATTAGTTAAAAGACAAAACTGTATTTATACCTTAATGACAGCAAGGAAACACATAAACACTAATAGCCCAAATAACTCCCATTCCTACAAAGTAGAATTTTTAGAGAGAGAAAAAAAAATTCTGCTGGACTTCACTGAACTATAGAAGGATTTGATATATGTATTAATATCAATGAATTAAAAAAATCATTCTGGGTTTCATGAGATCTATAATTTATTAAATAAGCATTATTTTAAGTATAAAAAAGACATTCTATGTATGTAAATATCCTTCTATTAAGAATAATGCATAATTTTTTTTGAATGCAAAAAAAATGAATGCTTAATTGCGTGTTAAAATGCATTATCACATGTGAATACAGGCATACATAATTTCTAAAATTGTTTTAAAGGCCAGTAACCCCAAAAGCCTCTCTAGCCATGATTCAAATAGTGAAAAATAGGCAAGCTAGTTATTATGAAAATTTGACAAATTAGAGTAAGCATTGCAACAACTTCTACTTCAAAAGATTCCATTGAATTAATGGAACATAAACATGAACAAAAATATTTTATTTTTGTATTATCAATAATATTAGATATGCTTGTAGTATTCATAGTATAATACTTTCAATATAATTAGATATGCTTAGAGGGATTAAAAATTATTCCTTAAGGCCAACTTGACAAACAATTATATCCTAGGAGTCTCTTTGAATGCAGAAAGAAAAAAGGTGGTGTTGAAATTTAAACTTCATGTTTTTTAACTCATTTATGCACTACTGATTCGTTACTTACACTGCCAATCTAAAGTACACATTCTCTCACTGTGTAACTTCACATGGGCGGGTTACTGTGCAGTTCAGTTGACCTTCAGGTCTACTTTGCTTTGTATTTAAATTTATTAATGCTTTTTCAATCAGCAGAAAACCAAATCAACACTTAAACATTATGAATACTTTTTTCTACTAGAAAATTTTCCCTCTGAAAACAAACTACTGCTCTAATGGTTCTTTTCAGGCTTATGCTATGGTGAAAAGCTAATTCACAAAACAAAATTGAGTGCTGTTTCACTTGAATAAAAACTCATTCTATACACTTAAATGATTTAGGGTGGCTAGTCAAGGTATATTATTGAAAGAAAAGTGGTAGGTCCTTTTAGTAATAAGTAAACTACAAAAATAAAACCAGAGGGAAGACCATGTTCTACACACACAAAAAACAAGGAAATTTATGCAGGCATCACAATGAGCCAAATAATCAATTTAAATCAAATTAGTATTGAACTTCATAGATTTCAGTTCACCTAAAAACTATGAAGGAAAAGAAGAATAAAAATTATGAAGGCCTCTAAAACAGGCCTGAAAAGGACCCAACACTGTAACCTTTAAGCCATGTTATAACGTTCAATTTCTTCTTCAGCGCTGAGGTCTCAATTCAGACTACTGGAAAGAGAAGCAAATGTGGGAGAGAAAAAGAATTCCCACAAAGAAGCTTAAATGTCCTCTAGCAGCAATATGAAACAGTTTTAATGCATCTGATTGGTGTGGGGAAGAGCCTGGTGGTGTCATGGGTTAAGTAACCTAACAGGTTGCTAAGTGCACAATTGGCAGCTCAAATCACCAGCCAGTCCATGAGAGAAGCATGAGGCTGTCGGCTCCTATAAAGACTTAGTCTTGGAAACACTAACAAGCAGTTTCTACTCTGTATTACAGGGTCACTGTGAGTCAGAAGTGACTTGATTGTAGTGGGTCGTGTGGGTTGTTGTGTACACGCAAGTGGATTCCAACTCACCGTGACCCCACAGGACAGAGTAGAACTGTTCCCTGGGGTCTCCAAGGCTGTAATCTGTATAGAAGTCGACTGCAACATCTTCCTCGCATGGAGTGGCTGGTGGGTTCACACCAACCAACTTTCAGCCAGGAGCCAAGCGTTGAGCTGTGTGTGCCTAGGACTCCTGGTGATGTTCTTCACTGCCTCATGAAGGATGACAGAATTCCGAGGGAGATTCAAATTAATCACTGCATCAAAACCAAAGGTGGCTAGAGTTCTGGGAGATACCATGAGGAAGAGAGATTGTCTTCTCTCAATACACAACCATCTTTGATTACCAGCTAAAGTATGAAATCACTGTAGTTTATGTATTTGATTGATGAAGGCTTGTTGTAGGCGGTAAATAAAAAAACAAAAGCGAAGGTGCCAACTGCACTGCTCCAAAAATCTCCAATCAGAGGTGCTAGGTAGCAATGATAAGGGATCAGAGAAAGGCAGCTTTTGCTTGCAATTCAGTGGAATAGGCTGCCCGAGCGAGAAAGCAGCAACCAAACCGAGTGTTCAAAAAAGGGTACCAAAACTTAAAAGATGCAGGGCAAGTGATTCCTAGCACATCTCCCCCCTAATTTGACCAATAAGAAATCACTTGGGTTAAAAAAAAAAAAAAAACAACAAAAAGCCTTAAACTGAAAAATCTCAGTCATTGACAGTTCAAAAGACTTTTCTAATGTCAATTTCATTTCTAGTCTAAAATTAGAATTTTGTAAAGCTACAAAAGCAGACTTTTGTAGTGAGTTAATTGTTACCTATAGAAGCACTGAAATATTGGGCAAAGTGGTATATTTCTTGAAGTTCACTTGAATTTTAAAAATATATCACATTTTCATATGTATTTGGTAAGGAAGGGTGGTAACAACTTTTTCTGACAAGTCATAAAGATGCTGAGTAATTTTCAATTGAGAGAGCCTTCAATTAAAGGATGTTATTTAATTACAAATCAGTGATAACTGGTTGAGAAAAAAGGTGGCCTGATAATAAATTAAACCTCTCTTTTGTAGAAGGTGGTTGTACAAGAGAAAAATTCATTTAGTTGTACAACTCATCAGGATCACACCTGATACCTTTCGCTATTCAAAATGCTAGGGTTTTAAGTCGCAAACTGTGAATGTGCAAAAATAGCATTTGGCTTTAAGAAATGCCATCCTCTACAAGCAAAACAAAATGTTAGCAGCAGCTACAGCAAGTTCCAATGCACAGAAGAAATATGCAGCATGAAAAAGCAACCACTATTTCCCTATTCATGGCTTTCCAAAAGAACTATGGAGAAAAGATACCAAAAAGGCTTGAATGACGTATGTTGCTTCCTAACTCAGAGTAACCAAATTCTCAAGACCACAAATAGGAACTATGTTAGAGAGAAGAAGAGAGCAACTTTAAAATTGTAAAGTAAATAGAATGTGATTAAAAACCTGAGTTTTTATTTGCAGAATCTTCTAGGTTCTCAGCATTGGAAGTGGCTAAATTTTGCTCTAGAGACACCACAGCCCTTTTATCTTCCTGGGTTCTCGCATCTGGGTTATGGTAGGCATCTATATTTTGTCTGTGCATCCTATTCAAATCAGCTGAGAGGGAAAAATAAGCCATTTATTTCAATAAGCACATCTCTATAATTGCTGTGTTTAACACATACTCTTAAAATAGGGAATAATTACCCCGTTCTGGATTTAGAGCTAAAAACCTTAGAATCAGAGGGAAAAGCAACAGAGCAAAGCCAGGCTAAATCCAATGACACCATGCTGCCCTGAAAACAGAAACAAAACTATCAAAACATAAAATATTCTTTATTTAAGAGAATATTTTAAATAATCTTACCCCTGCAAAGTAAAATTTTAAATTAGTTGGAAATTAAGGATATATAGATCTTTTGACAATTCATAAAAACAATATTTTCCATATCTCAGTTACTTCAGAACTTGGAATTCCTTTAATATAGTAAAAACATAGCAATAAATCAAAACAAGTCATAGTAAAATTTATCCAGCACCATTAGCAGCTCTCTCTCGATGAAAAAACAAGACCACCAGCCTAGGGGTTTGAAAATATAATGATAAATTCCTTAACAATCCTCCGTCAAAATGTGACATTCAATTCCCCTCCTCGAGTGTGGGTAGAATTAATAACATGCTTCTTGTGAATAGGGTATTGTAGAAATGATGACATATGATTTCCACAGCTACTTGATTAAAAATAATAATAGTAATAATCACTGTTCCCACCTCATTCACTCTGTTGAGTCACTTGCTCTGAGGAAATGGACACCCTATCATGAAGACACTCCCGGAGCCCCCACAGAAGTTGGGGCTGAGACACGCCCTCCATCGAGCTCCAGCCCATCCTTCCCCGGACTGCACCCTCACAAGACACTGTGAGCCAGGATCAACAGCCAGCTGAATTGCCCCCAAAGTACTGACCCACAAAACTACCAGAGTAAATGTTTGTTTTCAGCCACCTTTACATTTGAGAGAAACTTGTTACCCACCAATAGATATCTAATAAAATCAACCCAAACTCACTGCCATCCAGTCAATTCTGATTCATATCAACCCCACAGAACAGGGTAGAGCTGCCCCTATGGATTTCCAAGACCGTAACCAGAGTCAAAAGTAACACCTTTCTCCCACAGAGCAGCGAGTGACTTTGAACTGCTAGCCTTGTGGTTAGCAGCCCAACACGTAACCACGCTGCCTTCATCAAAAATCTGTGCATGTACAACTGGGTTAAGCAAGCAGTCAAACTCAAAAAGAGACATGCTCAATTGTAGCAGTCAATGATTTAACAAAAGTCGCTTTTCACCAAAAATAACAAGTAAACCTTGGACACTAATGAACTTAAACCTGAATAAAAAAAGGAATATCAGGAAACCTATTATGCTTTCAAAGGTATTTTGTTTAAGAACGTGAATCACAAGTAGAAAACCAGACAACTCAAAAACCAAACGAGATGCCAAGAGGTTGATTCCAACTCCTGTGTGTCAAGAGTGGAACTGCACTCAGCTGGGCTTTCAAAGGCCATGATTTTGTGGAGGAGAGAGATGAGGCTTTCTACTTCCATAAAGACTTACCATCTTGGAAATTACAAGGGGCAGTTCTACCCTGCTCCCAGAGAGTGCTATGGGTTGGCATCAACTCTATGGCAGTGAGTTTGGTTTTTTGGGTTGGTGGTCTTTTGGAAGTAGATCGCCAGTAGCATCTTCCAAGGCAACTCTAAGCAGATTGAAACCACCAAGTTTTCGCCAAGAGCTGGCTGTTTTATTGGTTGCACCACCCAGGGCCCCCAGATCACCAGCGAGGGCCTGGAGCACGCCTATCAGTGTTACGAGAGAGAAAGGGAGCTCAGAATCAGAAGTCTTCACATCCCAGGGAGACTCTTTCGGCAGGCTGCCCAGGGAAAGGAGTAGGACGAGAGCTTCACAGATGAAAATGCGTGGGAAAGAGTAAAAACAAAGTCAGAAAAGATACAAAAGGGGTAAGCATGAAGGGCACTCTGCCACCCCAAAGCAAGCACTCCGGCTGGACAAGAACAATAAGTGCAGTAACAGAGCATTAGGAGACACACAGAAAACAAACCAACAGAGGCCTGCTCTGGATATCCTAAAAGGCAGGCTGATGAATTATTTTCAACTTTGTTCTGATAGAAGGTAGCAGAGACAGCTGTGGCAGGTCTAGAAGCACAGGTCATAATAATGGCAAATACTGTTTAATTTACCATTTTTATATTTTCTATAAGCATTTACATCATGTGGTACTAGTATTTTCATTCCTTGTTTCAGATGAGAAAATTACACTCCACTGAGTTACTCAAAGACAACACAGACAGTAAGCGGCAGAGCAAGAACTGAACTCAGACAGTGAAACGCCAGTCAGTGGTGATTCTAAGACAGCGGTTCTCAAACGGCAGGTCCAACCCTTTTGGGGGTCGAACAACCCTTTCAAAGGGGTTGCCCGATTCATAACAGTAGCAAAATTACAGTCATGAAGTAGCAACGAAAATGGATGGGGGTCACCACAACATGAGGAACTGTATTAAAGGTTTGAGAACCACTTTTCTAAGAGAACTGGCTATACTTTTGACACAGGTTATAACTTGAATGGGAAAAAGACAAAGAAATTACGGTGAGGAAATAGCAATAGCTCAGGTAAAACATACTAAATCTCTATTATGTGGGTTATAAGAAGGGAAATAAAGAGAGTACTGAAGAGGAAAAATTTATGAATAAAGGTGTTTGTTTGTTACATTAGGGTTATTAACTGACTGGATATGGGACAGCTGTACATTTTCAATATCAAAAATAAGAATTAGGATGAGCTCAACTTTGAAGTTTTGTTTTGTAGGTAGTGAGGAGGGTGTAGGAGGCCTGGTAGGGCGTGATCAAGGGTAATCCAACCAAGAGGAATTACTGAAACCCAAAAGAAGACTGAACATGATAGTGGGACAA